CTGGCCACAGCGGCGAACAGGTGCGCGAGCCTGCTCGCCAACATGCTTGCTGTCGTTTGCCACAGATGGTGAGCGGCTCCTATGCCTGTGTTCAAACACGGAAACTCGAGTTTCCTATTATCGGCGATTTCTCTTTTGGTGTTGCCCTTTGCATTCACACACATAAACTCTTTTGTACGCAATTGTTGTTGTCAGCTGTGAATCGCCAACTTGAATTACTCAGACGAACGAGAGCACAAAGCGTCTTTCCCGAGTACGGGCGACTCGGTACCCGCCCCCTTTCCTCGTCGCTCTCTCCCCTACAAGCTTCGAGTTTCCGCAACAAAAGTTTTCGTGTCTGAACGTCGACTTTGTGATCTTGTCGTAATAGCGTAAAGATGGATAGCAAGCCGAGCATGCTCGCGCACATGTTCGTCGTGTGTGGCCATTGTTATGCTTTTATTAAAGTGAGTGGAAAATTTTCGATGCATCGAATCAAAAAGTCGATATTTTCGATGCATTTATGATTTTCCGACATCCCTAGTGTCATTTTCATTTAAGAATCTGGCAACGTTGTTTGACGATGACGACATAAAAAATAAAAGTTTGCGAAAGTACGAAACATTCAATTTAACAAAATCTTAAGCAGAAAGACAAATTGTAAGCATTTATTTTCGTGGCTAAAGATATATGACAAAATTACCAAAAAGCTCAGCAGAGGTAAAAAGCAGCCTGGCGTACATACATATGCACGAACATAGTAGAAAACCTATTGTGCATTCAGTGGAATTGGAATACCTAGCATATTTTTAAATCTTGGAATACCAGAGAACAAGCTTGCAATAGTTTACGATTTGGTAAACAAATAGTTTTATTACATACGTTCATAGCCATTACAAGTAGCTGGTGTAGAATACACATTTGAAAGATGGTGAAACTCTTTGCATTGAGCATCTTTTACAAGGGTCCAACAGAGGCACGACTGTTGAAATCGGCTTACGATTTGCAATCATTTTCTTTCTTTCAACGCGGCACAGTTCAGGAGTTTATGACGTATGTCGTGATCTTAATATAATTTATGTGTATCTACTAACAATTTCTATTTTTGTGCATACATATGTATGTATATTAATATTTGTAATTTTTTAGTTTTGCATCAAAAACGATAGTGGAGCGTACACAGCCAGCGATGCGACAGTCAGTAAAGCAGGAAGCTTACATGTGTCATGTATATGTCCGTGCTGATAACTTGGCGGGTGTACTGATTGCTGATCATGAATATCCACAGCGTGTTTCACATACACTCATCACTAAGATATTGGACGAATTCAGCGCTAAAATAGGGCCAGAACGTTGGGAAACAGGGGCTGAATCTACCATTGACTTTAGCGTACTACCCGCATATTTAGCAAAGTATCAGGATCCCAAAGAGGCAGATGCGTTGACGAAAATGCAAAACGATTTAGACGAAACTAAGATTATTTTAAAGAATACCATCGAAGCGGTGCTCGAGCGCGGCGAAAAGTTAGATGACATGGTAATCAAGTCAGAAAATCTTTCAATACAAAGTAAAGCTTTCTATAAGACAGCTAAAAAGACCAATTCATGTTGCAGTTTCAGTTAAGTGTAGGTTACAGAAACATAAAAATATGAAGTTATTGCGAAAAGAAATATATTTTCTTTTGAAGTGTTTGCTGTTTGCAATGCCGTTTACCACATATTTGAGTTAATACTGATGCTTGAGGTGGTGTTGCTTTTTAAATTTATCAAACAAAAAAAAAATATATATATATAAATCACAGAAGTTTATTAATGTAGGAAGAAAGGGAGTTGTTACGACAAACTAATAAAAAAAAGTATAAAAAAATATACAATTAGCTCAAGATAAAGGAACCCACAATATATTCATTCCAAACCATATAACTAATTTGACTTTCATTTAAAGTGTCAATATTAATTGGAGACCGGAGATGGAGATTAACTACAGTTGACAAAAATTAACCATATACGTATGTACAAATATTTGCAGATGTGCTTTTTATTGAATCGTGAAATTAAATTAATGCGCTGATCATAATTGTGAAAGTAACTGACTTCAAAAAAAATATGTACTAAATATGTATGTAACCGCTTTTTCCTATTTACATATATACAAAACTATTTGTATAAATGTATGACATTGCGGGAGGTGTCTCAAAATTAATTTATACTTGACTTGGCTATGTTTAAAATTCAGCCAAATTGACTGCCGATAACTGCATTCAAATTTTATATGTTAAATTCTTTAACACTTTAATCTAATATAAATTCATATACATACATACGTATAAATGTATGCATGTGGATTGTTTGCGGATAAGGTGTAACAAAAGGACGTGGATGTCCGCCCAGCTTATTAGATACATACATATATGTAAAATAAACAAACATCCCTGCAAACCAAAGCTCCCAACATCTTATACGAAATCTTTAATGTGTGGCAATATCTTTACGAATCTTCAAAGAAAATTATACGAAGTGGTTGACATGAACAAGTAAAGAAAATTCTATACGATTGCTTAAAATTCGGAAAAAAAACATTGAAACATTCTTCTCATTGTACCATAATTTTTCGGATTTTCTACCGAAATTTCGTAAAAGAATAGAATTGTGCTCATTACATTTCATTTTAGAAAATACTATTCAGAAAATTCTGAAAGCATGTTTGCAAAGAGGTTAAGCTATATATCGAATTTCTAAACAAAAACTGATCAAAAGTAACAGGATTGGTTCCACCGATTAACTTGTTTACATCTCTACTACACAATACTGGGTAATTTTGATTGTGTTAAGTTAGACTTGCAATGACGCTAAAGATAATGAAAATTGTTATAAAATAAAAAAATATGGATTTTAATGCTATAAAAAAATATAGTTGCAAAATTTCTATAAGTTTATGAGAACACTCAAACCCAATTTACCTTTTTATTTTTTTACGTGCTAATGTCCGAGCAATTCAATTCCATTTTCGAAATTTTCAATCCTTTTTTAATTATGTTTTGTTTTTTTCAAAAATTGTAGTTAATTTAATAGTTAAGTTTTTATGCTCATCAATTTATAGTTTTGGTTTTTTTTTTTGTTATATTGAAGTTTAATAATTACACTTTTTCTGAGATGCGATGTTTTTACATATTCGATATGTGAGCTTTCAGGATACACCAAAATATAAAAATTCATAGCCATTTCCTAAGAAAATATGAAACTCATCGGCATATTTAGAACAGCCCTGAGGGCACTATTTTCGTAAATTTAAAAAATTGTTTGCTTCTATAAAGTTTGAAAATTTGCCAAAAAGGCTATTTTGCATTGATGCTGATATGTACATACATACATATGTATGTATTGACATAAAAATACGAATAACCCAAACGAACTACAAAATCCTATTTATCAAAATTATAGTATCTTCTAGATGTAACTTAACTTTGAAAATGTGAAATACATAAGTGTTGAAAGATTGGTGTCATTCATTATCAGTCACATAATATTATAACCGTAAAAATTCAGACAGATTCTACGTGAATAAATAAAAAAAAATACATAATTTAAGTTCTCATTTTCGTTGTTGGTGTTTCCGACAGGGTAGGAGGAGTGTGATGGAATTACGAGTTTTAAACGAAAGTTTTAGTGAACAATTATTCATAAAGCTTTAATTATATGATGTAATGTGGAACGATTTTCCGCTATCCCTTGGCCAATTTGGTTTGGAGGCAAACCGGTTTGTTTCACTAAAACTTTATTTAAAATTCCTAATTTCCCTATCACTCAAAAATGAGCTCCAATTTAAATAGTTTACATTAGGGGTCTTCATCTAAACTAATAAGGGGATAAATTGCTTAAAACTGGTTATTATTTAACTTATATGGCTAGTTACGTTTCATTCTTACCTCATCCATTGCGTTCATTTGCTTTTATGTGTTCGTAGCAAAAGCGACCTGAACTACCTGAAATTTATACATTTATCCACCAAAGTCGTTTGATAAAGTGATAAACTTTGTTTAAATAGACTTGCATACAAAGTTTGACAGTTCATTTATCAAAATGAAAATTTATCACTTTATCAAGTTTATTAAGAGTTTATCACTTTTGATGAAGACCCCTATTGTTCAAACTAATAAGTCAAGTACCAACTCGTGTTTGAAGTATAATTTTTAAGGCACAGCTAAAATTTAATCAAAACAAATTCGCATTGAGTCAAACTACATATTTACATAACAGTTAGCCAGGCTTTTTTTGAGAAATAAAATGGTTCTTCATAGGCTTTGCGAAAAAAGTATTTTATTGTTAATTTTGTTCATATTTTACTTTTAGTTTTTAAGTTGCAACCATTATTTTGGTTTACCCTATACAGTTTTTATTTATTTTTGCCTTTTTTCATACAAGGTCTAAGAAAAAATACACCTTAAAAAGACTTGCGTGCAGCATGCATGTTTGTACTTGTCTTCAAAAGCTTACACTGCTGGCAAATGCAAATAAGGAATACAATTTTAAAACTATGTAATTATCAAAATTAAAGTAAAATTTGTACAAATTAACAATAAAATACTTTCTTCGCAAAATGTATAGAAAACCCCTCTATTAAACAAAAAAAAACTGTGTAACAGTTATTCGTTGCCACGCTGTGTAAAATTATACATGTAATTGCTTTCAAGTAATGAATTTTTAGCTCTGACATTATTATTTTTCTCCTATGGCTGTTGCTGTAAAAAATTTACTAGTGATCTTAACACCGAGCCTGGTAAAATTATTTTACACAAACAAAATACATAGGGAAAAGTTATCGAACACCGAGTTACCAAATACGAAGTGCCGTATGAAGACCCCTACCATGTATTTTATTCCTTAACCGCAGGTGAGCTGTCACAATCAGCTGACCTCCACTACTTGTATACTGCTCCCCATATGCGCAAAGATATTCCAATTCCATTTCGTAGCACAAAGTCTACAAAAGCCCCAATACATGTACTAACATATGCATGTACATTAGGTTGGTAAAAAATAGTTTAAAATGTTAACCTCTCACCCAATAGGATTTTGCTAAGTAGAAAAAAAAAAATACCCGTATTTTTGGTTTAAAAAAATATATTTAGAAGCGGTTCAAAGCCTGTGAAGTATTTTATATGGGGAAAAAACTAACTAACTAAACAATTCTAAATATTTCTTCTTAAGAAAGAAATACGTGTATTCTTTTTTCTATTCAGAAAAATTCCAGGGGGTGAAAGCTTAGCATTTCAATATCTTTGGACCACCCTAATGTGCATTCACCCATACATAACCTCCACAGTGGGTGCAGTTGTATTAGTGTATACGAACCTTTGACAGCTCGTTGTGCTTCTACATACATAAATAAATAAATACATATTTGTTGATATTTCGGGCTAAACAGTGCTACATTTGACACAAAATTTAGGTACTCAGCACGCGATAAAGGTATTTTCTTTAATTACAGAAGTGTAGTATTTAAATATTTACATAGGTACCAATTACTTGTTGAATAATACTAAAACGATAAAAAGTATCACAAGTGTTTGCATTCTATCTGCGTAAGTTGGTGATTACTCATTCAATATTTTTCTCTAGTTTCCTAATTGCTATTCAAAATTTGTAACTTGTTTTGATTGACCCACATTAATTCGTAACTCCCGAATGTCTGGTTGCCGCCTAACATACAAACTTATTTACATATGTACATACTGCATACGCATATACTTTACATGTACTACGTACATACGTACATACATATGTATGTATGTAATTAATAAGTAAAGCCGAAAAATATAAACAAATTCATACATATGCGTGTATGTATACTAGGGTGGTCCAAAAACATTGTAATGCTCTCACCCCCTAGGATTGTACTATATCGAAAAAAAGTATACCCCTATTTTTAATATTGAAATCAAAAATATTTTCGCTCAAAGCGATCAAAGTTTTCCATGTATTTTCATATGGGAAAAATAAAAATTTTTCGTAGAAATGGTATAGAACTCTTGAAAATTGGTCGCCCCATTGCATTTTTCGGGGTTTTTGTGGGTTTTTGGCGGACCTAGAAATAATAGTAGCGATGAAAAAATGATTAAATAAACAATTGGGTATTATTATGGCTAATCTCCTGCAGATAAACAGGGTTTTCTGTTAAAAAAATATTGATTTTTAATTATTCTATACCATTTCTACGAAAAGTGGTTTTTTCCCATATAAAATACATGGAAAACTTTGGGCGATTTGAGCGACCTCTAAATATTTTTTTGATTTCAAAATAAAAAAATAAGGGTATATTTTTCGGTATAGAACAATGCTAGGGGGTGAGAGCAAACAATTCTAGTTTACTTTGTCACATGCATATTTGGACCTAATGTATACCCTATAAACATTTTCGCAAACGTTCGAAAATTACCTTCGATATCCAATATGCATTTCAAACTGAGAACGAACTCATAACCGACCTTTGGCCCCTATTGCGAGTGTCGACTGGCAGTAGAATAGAAATTTGTCGATCGAGTCGATCATCTTTTATTTTGCTTTGTGTAACTTGATCGATAAAAATTTGTACTATTGTGAATGGTTGACAGAATTGTAAACAGCTGTTTGTTTGTTTCTTGAGTGTTTTATTTACATCATTTTTAAAATAATTGCTTTTATTATAAAATTTAAAAAATGGACACAGTTGAAATATGGTTTAGTGATGAGGAAGATGATGCGGAAGCTAATAGATTAGTTGAGTTGGCAAAAGCAAGGAGGGAATTGCGAGATTCGTCGGATCCCTTGGACTTGAAGGTGTATGTACATGTGTGATTTTTATGAATAGAAGTTGAGTTCCCGATGCTTCACGGTTTTTAGGCTTTACATGATTTGCAGGAAAAGCTGTTTTCCTCATTAATAAACTTTATGGAAGTTTAAGAAATACGGTACGGTTAAGTTTTTTGTACAATGATGTTGGGTTTTTGTGTCCAAACGCGTGACCCGAGTTTAAAAACTTTAACATAACAACATAACAAGTGTATTGAAAGAATTCAACTTTAATTTAAAATAAAGATTTCAAATTTCCGAGCACTAGTCAATTAATAAATTATGCAGTTTTTTTGTATAAACTTTTGATGTTGGTTCTGCGCAAAAACACTGTGGATGGCGTAGCCGGAGTTATATGCACAAGAAATATTGTATATGTATCTTTTCCAATAGAAGCGGAGCTTCCTACCCTACTCTTTCCGGAAATTCCTTTGCCTATGTCTTCACTCTCCTGCATCAGAACGACCAACCGCGCAAGTTGCCTTTTGTTGCTTATAATTTTTGATCTGTAATTCAGACACATACATGCATATGTATATTTCACAATATTTTACAACTTCCAGTTCAATTGACTTACTTTTTATCCATTATAGTACCACTTTCTTATGTAAATTTTATAAACGCAAACTCCAACGACTAAAAAACAGCAATAGAAGGATGAGCGATTAAAAAGTATTCACAGTCGCTAATTGAGCGACTAAGCGACACTCGCAATAGCATCGATAATCGATAATCGCTTAATAGTCGTTTATCTACTGCCAGTCGACATTCGCAATAGGGGTGTTTGTTTTCCAACGTTCCTGTTTCCAGTATACATTCGAGATGGGTTTGAAAAAATATGAAAACCATAGTAATAAGAGAGAAATATAAGACATCATTAGAAGGGAAAAATACGTTGGATAACGAAAGTTCCATCTTGCTGGAGAATGGCCTAGTTCTCGAATCGAATACTAACCTATCCACATTGTTTTCCAATATTTTTTCGAATTGTTAACCAAGCCTAATGTTTATTGGGTATACATATGTATATATAGTGCTATGCTATAGTGCCGTGCCAAACTGAATTCAAGCATACTGCATAGTCATATACCAGGGATTTGAAATTTATTAATGTGAATATAATTAATTAATCGAAACTTAACTAATTTATCAAACCATAGTGTGGGACTTGCCTTTCGGCTCACAGCACTAAAAAACCACCCCTCCGTTTCCCACCCACTGTGGAACTACCGTAAGGCATTGTTGCACGGAGAGAGAGGGAGAGAGGGCGGCCTATTGCCTTTCTATGAAAAACTGCGGATTAAATTAAGTTCAAATTGTGTTTGCCAAATTGCAGACAACGGACCACTTTTCTTCCGACTCAGGCATAGCATCCACGAGGTCATTAACCGCAAGTGCCCACCCCACCTTCATGCTCGAGTGATCCCTTTGATTGCAAAACGGGTTTAGCGTCTTCAGTAGGTACTATCCTTTGTGATCGTCATTATGCTCAAATGGGTTCAAATAAATATGATTTGAAGCAACCATGCCTCGTAAATATTTGGGTCAGGTGGAAATCCACTTCCCCATGTTGACTACTTACCCACATTGATATCAGGGTATCCGGAGGTACGCGGCTATCGTAGCTCTTACGTTCGGTATACGAATGGTTATCTTAGACTTATGGCCCACTGCTTAGACGGTTGGAACGGCCTAGTTTCCAATCGGCGTGCCGCTTCTATTGCACGAATTTCAAAGCCCCACTATCTCGTCGGTTGGAACGGTCTAGGTTCCAATCCGCTCCTATGCTTGGCTGCGCGAGGTCAAAATCGCACTGCTTTGGTGGTTGGAACGGCGGGGGTTCCAATCTGCTTTTACGCTCCAAGTGCACAGGGTTCAAAGCCTCACTATTTCGGTGGTTGGAATGGCCGAGGCTCCAATCCGCCCCTACTCATCGCGTGCACGAGGTTCAAAGACATCTAGGCTTGCCGATTGGGATGTCCGAGGTTCCAAACCGCTCTTACTCCGAGGAGGAGCGGCCTTTCTATGAATATCTGCGGAACTGTTGCGCTTGGCGCAATTTCCTGAGAATGGTGCGTGCCATATGGCAAACATCGGACCAATTTTCGATTGACTCAAGCATAATATCCACAAGGTTGTCAACCATAAGAGGCCTCACCACCTTCCTGCTCAAGTAATTCCTTTCGGTTGCGAATCTCGAGCAAACGAAAAAACAATGTTCTGCGTCCTCGATTACCTGTTCAGTACAGACCGTGCAGTAGGGATCATCATCGTATGTAAGTCTGTAAGTCTCTACATTCCTTTCTTCTTTCTTTTTTTTTTTTATGGAATGGCACAAATTGAAGTGCTTCTTCTTTCGCTACCTACAGAACGCCTTTCAGAAGGGCTTTTATAGAACCTACTTCAGAAGGCCTTTTGGAGGAGTTCTTTTAAAGTTGCTTCTTTAATTTATAACAATCATACATCTTTGAAGTATTTGCTTAAGGTTTGTATCAAACATGTGTTATTGCAACTTAAAATGCTTATTGGAATTCATTTGTAATGGTAAATAATATGAATGTATGCATTCGCGTAAATTGTAAATGAATAAGGCCTTCTAGAAGGCATGCAAGGAAGCACTTTTTTCAGCCCTTTTTGAGTAGGCCACGTAAGAAGGCCTACCAAAATTATCTTCTGGGATGTATGTATATGTATTCAGATATACCTAAATACTAGAGTAGATTTCTAAATACTAATTAAACGGGTGAGGAAAAGAAAAAATACTAGGTTAGTTTTGTTTTGACAAAAATTATTTGTAATTTTTCCGAACTTTTCAAGGTTTTCTCCGTACTTTACATAATTTTTTGGGAATTGATGTAGAAAATTTCAGAGTTTGCATGCTTATTTAACATTTTTATATACAACGCTTCAGTTCTTAGTAACACATCATGTCTCAATTCGTGGAATATATTGAGCCACTTTGGCGTGGCTTAAATATGCGAGAACTGAAGGTCGATGAAGCCTACATGGTAGTTAAGTCTCATTACGAAAAGCCAGCTTATCTTTACAGTCGTTCGGATGAATGTTATACGGTGAGTGAAAAATTCTGTATGTATGTATGTATGGATATACATATATGAAATTAACTCAAAATACTAACTATGCAATTATTTCGACTAATTATTTTTATTTTTTTCACCAGTGTTCCTACAGCTATGTGAAATCAATGCAAAATTTTACGTTTAAATTAAATGTGGCAAGAGGTTGGGAATTTAAAGTGTTTGGCAAAGATGTGGAGCCGACGACCAACAATGATATGTAAATTTGAACATTTATTGTTTCGAAAAAAAAACCAACAGTCGCTTTCTTTCCACAGGCAATGCAATGACACGATTTGCGACAGTGTTTGCAAATTGTATTCGCCCGCGACAATGCTGCAAGAGTTTGGAGTCTATAATTTTACGCTACGAGCAAATGGTAGCTGCGAGCTTATAACAGACAAGACAGGCGTTAATGTGAATTTGTGTAAGCGTACAAAGAAAATACGAAGACCTTACCGCCAAAAAGGCGTAACTTTTTCTTTCAAAATTTTCTTTTTGATGCTGAAATTGTTCCTAGAGCATCTAGAGGCATTTCTGCATCAAATATAAAATTTTGAAAAAAATTTCGCTTACGCCTTTTTGGCGGAGAGGGCTTGATATTTTCAAAATTTTACACTTTTTATAATTATAATTTTACTTTTATTTATTCGTAAAATATTATTTTAAACTGAAAATCTTGCTTTTTAGCGCTCGCATCGGTGTTTCTTTTAGTCACTATGTTGTTGACGGTTATACGCACATCCTGGTGTGTCTGGCGTTCGTACACCTTCATCCCGGAGCAGGAAGCTGGCGCTAATGTTATGCCTGAGCAGCCGAGTAAACGAATGCGTAGCCTAGATGCTTTTCGAGGGTATACATATGATAATCAATTATTTTACATTTATATATGGATACCTGAGCGGAAGATCGACCTATCTCGGCAGCCAGTTCGAAAACGTCCTACTTCAGAATTTGATTGACGGACGCCCTATTTCAGATGTTGAATGAAACAACAGCCTATCTCGGAATTTGGTTGAAGAACGCGGCTATGTTGTTGTTGTTGTTGTTGTAGCGGCACTACTAAGGCCCGCCTATTTCGGTTCATCCATCAATCATTGTCGTCAAGCTCAACTAATGGTAGGCCCAAGAAACGGGCAGTTTGAACAGGGTCCGACCAAAGGATGTTAGTTGAGTGGTTGGTGTTGTGCGGGGAGTCTCCACATGCCGGACACTTATCGGGGATATTGGGGTCAAGTCTGGACAGGTAGCTGTTTGAGGCGGCTACAGTATCCAGACCGTAACGCTCTATCTCAGCTGCCGATTCAAAAACGCCCTATCTCAGCTGAAAATGCATTGAAAATGAGCTGAGATGGCATGATTCAATAATAAAAGGTTTTTGAATCGGCCGATGAGATAGGGCGTTCTTCAACCAAATTCCGAGATAGGGTGTTTTTCATTCAAATGCTAAAGTAGGACGTTCTTGAAAAGTTTTCTGAGATATGGCGTTTTCGCACTGGCTGCCGAGATAAGCCGATCTTCCACTCAGGTGTCCGCATTCTCTTTTTTATAACTCTTTCATTCTTTTTATTCCAGCATGGCCATAGTATTGATGATATTTGTCAATAGCGGTGGTGGTGGTTATTGGTGGATCGAACATACACCATGGAATGGTCTGCACTTGGCTGATGTAGTTTTCCCCTCATTCCTTTGGATAATGGGAGTTTGTATACCGATTTCGGTGAAGTCGCAAGTGGCTCGAGGTACGCCAAAGACTAGTATATGTAGGCGAATTGTTTGGGTGAGTCAAGGGGTGCATGTCTACATTAATATTGCAAAGCATTGTTGTAAAAGCCTTTAGTAAGTTACACACACACACACATGTTTGCCTTACCGACGTAGTTCATTGTAAACTAAGATTATCCTTAACCGTTATAAAACATTTCGCGATCTAGAGGTGAAAAGATGCCAGTTTTTTTCAAAATTTAGTTTTTGTTGCAGCATTTCGTTACTCTAATACAGAAAAAGCCTTAACTAACTAAAAATTAAAAAAAATTCACTTTTTGATTGATTATGATGCATTTCATCGAGTTATAAGTTCCCACATCGCTTTATGCAATACCAAATTTTAGTTAGTTACTGCTTTTTTGCAATGCAGCGACCACGTGAGATAGGGCCTTTCTACATTAAGCTAACGATATATAATAAAAATTCTAAAATATATATGTACATATATTTTTAGCGTTCGTTTAAGTTATTCGTCATAGGCATATGCCTCAACTCCATAAATGGTCCACAAATGAAAGATCTACGCATAATGGGCGTGCTACAACGTTTTGCTGTTGCCTATCTTTTTTGCGGCTTGGTTCACACTCTATTTGTTCAAAAGGAGTTCGTAATGCCGCAGGTAAGCATTCTACTCTAAGTTCTCCTGGGTTGAATAACACCACTTTTCGTAAACTTAAAAAAAATATTCTGCCTTATCCTGAGTTTGGCCAGAAAAAAATTCACCCGAAAATTTGTATTCCGCCTATGGGCTGTATTAGAAGATGTTATGCCTTTTTATTCTAAAAACAAAATTGTATGTTCGGATACGATGCTGTAGAAATGTCCCGATTTTTGTACACAGAAATCTGGTCACCGTAAGTAGGTATATGTAGTGCAAGTTTGAGGTAGCTAAGACTTACTTACCGTTGATTTTTTTATGAAGGTTTTGTACATTTCCTTCCATAAAACATATGCTGGAATTTTTATTTTTATACGGAAGAATATGAGCAGGATGGTCAACAAATAATTTTCAAAAATCAAAGGTAAGTCTTAGGTAATTCAAACTTGGACTTTGTTGTAAGAAATATTCAATGAGCTATAAAACTACATACAAAAACAACTTCTAAAAAACCGAATTAAAAAGTTGAAAATTTTGATGGAAATTTGTTGAATTTTCCTAAGTTTTTCATAAGGCTTTTTGTGGATGTTTTTTGTAGGAAGAGCTGTACTTTTCAAAAAAATATATATATGTATGTAAATGTGTTTACTCAGACACAACGAATCAATCCAGTGTCCAGTCGATCCAATAATACTTAAATACAAAATTTTCTTACAGATTGCTTGGAAGCGTGCCTTGTGTGATGTTCTTTTATTGCGAGCAGAATTTTTAGTAATGATCTCGCTCATTGCGATTTATTTGGGTCTGATATTTGGGCTTCCCGTACCTAACTGTCCCACGTAAGTTTGTGTATTCAATAACTTACATACATATAAGGATGGTTCTTAAAATATCAACTAACAATAACAAAGTCATCCACGAAAAGCTCAAAATTTTAAAAGTTCAAAATTTTAAAATAATTTTTTGGGGTCGCCAACAGGTAATGAAATTTGTTTAGTTAAATCTGATAAACTTGACATATTTTTGAAAACTATTCATATAAATTCATAGTCATCGCTCGCCAAATGTATTCATCATGCAATATTAATTTCCAAGTGCAGCATTTTTTTAATTTTTTCCAAATTCTATAACACTGGTTTACAAATAATTATTTTGAAAACTTATAGAGGAGAGTTCGTACGGACTTCCTCAGCTGAAAACGATTTTTTTTTTTAATTTTTCCTAAGGCATTTTTTAGACAGTAGTATTTTTGTGTATTTACGATATACATACCACTTATTTTGACCGGAATAAAACTTGCTGAGTTATAGCTAGCTAAAGTCAAAATTTTGTAGAATATTCGCGATTTACGAAAAACTTCAATTTTTTCTAACCCATAAAAATTATTTTAAAATTTTGAAATTCTGGTAGATCTCTTTATTTTGCACGTAAATATGTAGAACAAAACAAAGGGATGACCCGAAAAAATTTAGATGTTGATATTTTTAAGAACCACCCTAATACATACACACTACATTCGTATGCATATACATATATATCAACTACTTACATACATATAATTTCATATTTTCGCAGCGGTTACTTGGGTCCTGGCGGCAAACACGCTCTGGCAAATTATCCCAATTGCACGGGTGGCGCCACTGGCTATATTGATCGTCTGATTTTAGGCAATGCACACATCTATCAGCATCCGACCGCAAAGTATGTGTACGGCGCTCAGGCATTTGATCCGGAAGGAGTTTTTGGTAGCCTAAAAAACTCAACTCTTAATTTTTAAATTTCCCTTTCAATTAAAAAAAAAAATCATATCATATTTCAGGTTGCCTTTTGACTGTGGCTCAGACCTTTTTAGGCGTGCTCGCTGGCGTTATTATTTTGGTTCATACTAACTGGAGTGCACGTATTAAACGTTGGCTCTACTGGTCTATTGGATTAGCTCTGCTGGGTGGCACACTTTGTTTTTTCTCTATAGAAGACGGTCCTATACCAATTAATAAAAACCTCTGGTAAGAAATTAATTTAAAAACGTCTATATGTTGTACTAATAGATATGTTAATCTTATTTTTTCTCTTCTCTGTAGGTCTCTTTCTTTTGTTTTGGTCACCTCTGGATTGGCCTTCTTTGTGCTCAGCTTACTCTATTTCGTTATTGATGTGCAACGTTGGTGGACTGGCTATCCATTCGTGCAGTCCGGCAAGAATGCCATTATAATGTATGTGGGTCACACCGTGATGCATAAAATGTTGCCATGGCATTGGCGCATTGGACCAATGAATACTCATTTTGTGCTCTTGCTTGAATCCACATGGAATACTTTGCTTTGGGTTGCTATTGCATTGTATTTAGATTCGATAAAATTTTACTACAGCTTATAAAAGAACAAAAATTAAAAAAAAAAGGAATAATGCAATGTGAGAGCAATAGTTTGAGGTATTTTAAATTTAAGAATTCCCGAAAATGTTGTAATATATATGTATAATACAATCAAAAAAGAAATGCATAATTTTACATAGTCATATATTATATAGTTAGATAAGATTGTAACAGTAAATTTACCTTAAATTTATACCCACCAAACAATTTGTGTTGCCGGCAATAAGAAAACGTGTCGCCCTCGGAAACAAATTTATTGCCGGTAATATTGCCATCGAATCGATTTCCTATTACCGGTCGCTCTAAAACATCCGCCGAAGGCAACTCGCCTGGGCGAGCCATTTTCTTATTACCTGAATGAGTCCTTTTCTTATCGCTTCAGGCGCTATTTGGAATAATTTTATTCTTTTTAATACTTCATTTATTTTTTTGTATACCAAATTGCAACTTACAATCGGAATTAATTCATTTTCTCGCTGTGAGGCTTCCTATTTTTTCAATCTTGTCCTTGGGCATAATTTAGATGCTTTTGGCCAATACTATTGACGCCATATTCATAAGTTTCGGAATTTTTGAGAACTTTTTTATTCAAAATTGACATGAACGAAGTGATGTTGCCGATTTGTCACCACAGCAATAAATCGGTGAGTCGCCAATTTGTTGCCATTGACGATTGTTGCCTATTTCTCATGTTTTGCATGGTGGGTATCTACACATATTTAATGCTTATATATTTTGTAATACAAACTCGTATTTTCCCACCAAACAATTTTTGTTGCCGGCAATAAGAAAACGTCTCGCCCTCGGAAACAAATTTATTGCCGGTAATATTGCCATCGTATCGATTTCACATAACTAGTCGCTCTAAAACGTCCGCCGAAGGCAACTTGCCTGGGCGATTCATTTTCTTATTACCTGAATGAGTCGTTTTCTTATCGCTTCAGGAGATATTTGGAATAATTTTATTCTTTTAACTACATTATTTATCTTTTGCATACAAAATTGGAACTTAGAAACGAAATAAATTCTTTATTTCGCTATGGGGCTTCCTATTCTTTCAATCCTGTCCTTGGTATAAATTAGGCGATTTTGGATAATACTGTTGACGCGAAATTTATAAGTTTGGGAATTTTTTATGACTTATTTATTCCAAAGTTGACATGAAAGATATGATGTTGCCGATTTGTCACCACAGTAATAAGTCGGTGAGTCGCCAATTTGTTGCCATTGACGATTGTTGCCTATTACTCATGTTTTGCATGGCGGGTTTGATCAAAGGGATTTATCCCTCCAGTATTGGTTTGAATAAATATTTTGTATACTTGATTGGGCGCTATTTAAGAAATACACGAGTACTTACTGGAAAAAAAATATCTGTGGTGGTCAGCGAATTATCTGAGTGGTCGACATTCGTCAGTAATCTTTAGAGACAAAACTAGCAACCCTAGGAAAATTAAACCCTGTTGGATTACTACATATCAAAGCTACCTCAGCCCACAGAGAGAGTGTCTATTTTGTCTACTATGCTGACGACTGCTTGACAATGGCGTCCGGGAATGTAATTGATGACTTGTACTCGAAAGTAAACGGTTACTTCTCCAAACTTTCTCACTTCTTCACTGCAAGGAACCACCTGGACGTAGGAGATCAGATGAGAGCTAGGAATTCACGCCGATGAAGAAACAATTCCGACGGCGAATAACCCAAAAATTCTCGGAGTTAACTTCGATAGTCTGCTCTGCTTCTCGGCGAATACAACTGCAATTGTCAACAAAGCCCAACAACGTCCCCAAGTCGCTAGCCAGCAGCACATGGGGGCAAAGAAAATGGCACGTTATTGGCAACCAGTAAAGGAGCGTAACACGATGCTCAGCAATCAGTTCTTAGTAGGGTGTCACAGACGCGGGCACCCGAACAGACACTTACTTGTAGGTTCATAAACTAACCTCTGCACCCGACAGCATACCGACAGGCCAAACAAGCGCATTTACAGGGAGTCGATTTCGATTTACACCAACTCCGGACCTGTGAATGCTGTTTTGGAAATACAGCCAACCGACGTAGACGAGACAGAGCTTTGTCCGCCTCGGAAGACTCACACCACCATAGCCCAATTATGCTCTGGCTAATGCAGCAAGCTACACTGCACGGTGGGCAGGAAGCAAAGATAGGTTGCATAAAAATGTCGACAAAAACTCTAAGCAGGGTTGTATTTGTTGATATTTTTAGGTTAAGAATCCCTTTGAATTGAAATTATAGCTGCTCCTGTTTTAAAGATATCCACATTTTACATAGTTATGATAGGACCGACTTTTGCGAAAGAGAAAAACATCCTTGTGCATTAAATATTCAACAATGTATGTGTGAGTAAATGTGTGTATATATATTATGTGAAAATATAATATATATATTTATCGTTTCCAAGGCGCACCACGTAGAAGCAACTTACTTTGCACCTCTTTGTTCTTTTTTTGGTTTTATTTTTTTAT